GGTGGACTTTGAGTGTGGCTCAGGGGCAGAGCACTGGTATAGTATTTGTAAATCTCTGGGCTTCATACGGAAGAAGGGATGGGGGAGCAGAGAAGCAATGAGGTGGGGCGGGGGAACCACTAGGGTTGAACAGAAGACAGGAATCATCACGAGAAGTTGTTATGTGATATGGAAACAAAATTATCTATGACTTCACTAATGTTTGAAAAATAGAATAATTATCATTTGTTGTTGTTTTTCCCTTACAGGGTCTTGAATCAGGCTGCCAAGAACTCACTATGTGGCTGAGGATGGATTTCAATTTCTCCACTTCCCAAATGCTGAGATAATAGGCCTGTGCCACATCAGTTTTCTGCAGAGCTGGGGATCAAAACCAAAGCTTTGTGCATGCTGGGTTAGCCTGTCACCAGTAGAACTATATCCACACCTTCATTGTCATTTATAGGTTTTTTTTTTTTATTATTATTTTGAGACACAGTCTTGTTATATATCCCTGGCTGGCCTGGTACTAGCCATGTAGCCCAAGCTGGCCTTGAATTCAAGGAGACTCTCCCACCTCAGCTTCAAGAGTGAAGAGATTATGAAAGCGCACCATGATAGCTAGATTTTAGTTGTAATTCTCGAATAGTATTTCTACTATTGGCCAATAAATAATAAATCTGCCTATAAAGAATGATTTAGCAGGGCAAGCCTTTAATCCCAGCTTTCAAGAAGTAGAGGCAGGCAGATCTCTTTGAGTTCCAGGTAAGCCTGGTATAGATAATGAGTTTCAGGCCAGCCAAGATCCTGTCTAAAAAAAAAGTCTAATTTTTAAAGTACTTTATAGTAGACTTTTTAGAGAAGGAAGGGAGGGAGGGAGGGAAACAGAGATGTGAATTTTCCTCAAAGTGATGGTCCCTCTAGCTAGAATGTGCTCGAGCAAGTGAGCATGAACAAAGAACATTTCCCGCCTGGAGAGGCATCAGGACTGTGGGTGAGAGTCAGGGACATAATTTGAGAGTGGGCTCAGACACCTGTTAATGCCCTTCTGATTCCTTCAGCTCACTTGTAACATCTCTCTCAGAGGCTTTGCCACATATGCTGTAATGGCTACCTGACAAAGCCGTGCTGCTCTGAATTTACAAGGCACAGGGGAATTCTAGCTGCATTTCAAACAACGAAGAGGAAAACCCCTGGTAGCTTTCTGTCACGCCCCAGACCTTGCACCTCACCCCAGCACTAATGAATTCCCACCATGTAGGATTGGAAGAATTAATCTCAGTATTACAAGCTTGCTAAACTGTCAGTTTCCAGACTCGTGCCTGGAAATTCTGACCTTGCTCCCCTCAATTGGAGTTTGGCTGTTGTCGTTTTCAGAGCATTTCTTGGGGAATCCTGCTGCGGTGTGTCCAGGCACTGGGCATCGAGAGATCTCATCTAGAGATCTCATCTAGAGATCTCTAGAGTGAATGCTTCATCTAGAGTGAAGCATTCTTGGCAGTGGCTGGAGTGGTTGGCACTTGTTCCTGCTCTTTTAGAGTGGCTGCACTCTAGAATTGGAAGCTTATGATTCTCCCTTTTAAGCAGGTAGGATTGCCATCAGGTCTGAACCAGAATCTGAGCCCTATCAATATGTCCAACACTCAAGCCTCAGTCACCTTAGAAGCTATAAAGCTGCTCTACTACAAAATTGTAAATTTACATATACTATCGTGTGTGTGTGTGTGTGTGTGTGTGTGATTTCTTTCTGTAAATTGGTTGTGAAGTCACAAAGTATTAACTTTGTAGAAGACAATGTCATGTTGCAATGTCAAAGACTAGACATGCTTGAATGGAGTCACAACTTAATCTAAGCATACTTAGAGATCTTGTGAGAACTGCAGCCAGAGTGAGTCATGGGGTCTTCCCTCCTGTGACCATATTTTCATCTTAAAATTTTTGGTAAGAATCTCACTGGTCTGTTATCTGGGGAAAGAAATAATTTTAGAGTTACCTATTTTTATCACTGATCTTTGTATTCAAATGTTTTGGGGGTGGGGGTTACAACTGGGACATGGTCTCAGCGCTTAGAAGTTTAGACCTTAATGATTATGGAGTCATATTGAGGAATAATAGCACCCATTGAAGCAAATTGAATCCTGACGAGGATTCAATAGGACAATACCAGAGAAGTGCCCAACCAAGTGTCTGGCATATAAGAGTGCTAGCATGGTGAAGGTTCTGCCAGCAATAACTGTCACTTTGTGGTCTCCAGGTTAAATCTGTAAGAAAGAGGTATGAAGTAATTTGTTCCATTTTCCAACAATATAATCATTTTCAAGCCTCTATTTTCTTCTTTCAGATAGCCTTTTCCTTAGTCATTTATAATCTCCTAATATAATAAGCCACACCCCACACTCCCTCAATGAACTAGAAATTGCTGTTGTCATTAAATTCTGTTCAAACTGATTTTTTAGTCCACAGTCCTCATGTCTCCCATATTCCTCCAAAAACCAGCATGGTCATGGTTTTTTTTTTTTTTTTTTTTTTTTTTTTGTTTGGTTTTTTTGTTTTTGTTTTTGTTTTGTTTTTTTCTTTCAGAGTAAAAACCATTCCCTGGTACCAGCTCTGCATTAGTTGCTTCTCCATTGCTGTGGCAAAACACCATGATCATGGCAACTTGGTGAAGAAAGAGGTTATTTGGGGCTTACAGCTCCAGAGGGTCAGATTCCATATTGGTGGCGACAGCAGGTGGCAGGCATGGGGAAAGGAACAGGAAGTTGAGCGCTGAGGGCTCACAACTCAAACTGCAAGCAGGAAGTTGAAAGAGTGCACTAAAAATGGCCTGAATCTTTTGAAACCTCGAAGCCTGACCGGAGTGACGTACCTACTCCAGCAATGCCAAACTTTGTAAGCTTCTCCCAAAGTCATGATCTGGGGATCAAGTATTTAAATGCATGATCTGTGAGGAGACATCTCATTCAAACCATCATTATCTCACCATGAGCTCTGGACATTGGATGAAGTCTCATTGATGCTTTGTTCTCCTGGATATGTTCAATGCAAATACCTTATCTTTAAATCCCATTCCTGGGTCATGCCAGCCCCCTTCGCTTTCCTTCTCTCACAGTCTCCATTTTAATTTTTTCCTTCCACTTGAACCAAGCCTAAAGCAGTTCTCATGCTTTATGCTTGCCCTTTTTATACTTTAGCCTTGTTTCCATTCTGTTATAAGAGAATGCAACTTTTCTTTTCAATGTGTGCCCAGCCTTTCCCATCACATTCATTTTGCCAGTGGATCTCAGAGACCTGACAGTTTTCCCAGACCTTACGCTGCACAGATACAGACTTTCTGCAATTTTGCGCATGGCTCTGGTGTGTGTTTCAACAAATTACTTGCTGTTCTTCCAATACCTTACTGTTTGTTTCTCTTCGGCAAATGTTCATTCAACCAGAGCCTACTGACATCCCACAGTATAGAAAACACTGTGCCGAGATTTGTGCATATAAGATGAGCAAAACACGATTTTGTATTCACTCATTCTGCTTCAGTAAATCTGGGGCAAAAGCAGTACTTTTGTCTGGGAGGAGTTCAGTTAGTAGTCTAGAAAACAAAGGTAGCGGTGTAAGGGTGCATCACATGTTAAGTATCACACAGTGAGATATGGAGAACTTCCTCTGAGGGCCCCCGTAGTCTTTATTTCATTTCGATTAGTTTTTATTTAGAAGAGGAGGAGGAGGAGGAGGAGGAGGAGGAGGAGGGGGAGGG